TGAACTTCTCGCAGGCTGCCTACGCTTGCGTCCGTCTGTGCGTGGCCCCGTGCACCACTAGGCACCTGCGCGCGTGTTGCGCGCCCATGTGCATGCATAGTGCCCGTTGGGCACCCGACTAGTATGCCTTCAATTTCTTCGGGCCACCTGGTATTTTAGCCACCCCCACCAGGTTTCACTTCTTCGATAAGCATCCCGAAACCATCGATGGTACGTCCTCTTGAGTCGTGGCCTCATCCGTGCTCGTCTACGCCAATGCGCGTGTGCGCGACCTTGTTTAACGCACCTCTTTGTGTGGGTGAGCATTGCTAGCCTTGAGACCATCTTCTCGCGTGCTCGTGCATCTTTCATACGAGCTCGTACTAGTTATTGAGGCCATGCATATGTCGTTTTGGTCCTATTTTCAGCCTCCTCGGGTCCTCTCGGCTCTTGTATCTACTCATCGTCGGGCCTCGAAACCCACTTTCGTATCACCCGCGCCCAGCGCAACCCGCGCCCGCGCCTAGTGCAGCCCGCGCCCGCACCCAGGACCCCAGCGCGTCCCCCAGCGCCCCATATGTTAAGTAGGGCATTTCCAGCCCTATTTAACCCCTTTTGTTCCCCTCCCCAAGCCTCCAAAACCCTCCCTCATTCATCATCAGCCGCCACCCTCTTCTTCCTCTCCACTCCCGATCGCCGTCTTGATACAGAAGTGGCGAGGCAACTCAAGAACGCCACAAGTCACGCTTACCATGCACACAAAAGGCAAGCACGGGTGACGGTGGAAGTGCGTGCGGTACGGGAGAAGATGGGCCCGCACGCAGATGTGCAAGCGATGTGCACGGTAGAGGTGCATGGATAATGTGAGCAGGACGCGCGTAGCGCGGGGTTGGCGAGCGCGCGCGCTGGGGAGGCACGCGCAGCGGACGAGGCCTCATGCCTCGAGGCATACGAAAAGATAGGGCAGCACGTGTGCAAAGGAGCAGCCGGGAGCAAAGGCGTGCGCGACACGCCTGATGGGGAAGGACGCGCGGGGCGCGAAACCGCATTCCTTGAAGAATGCGGTATGGCGGGCGGACACGCGCGCGAGGGCAGCGCGACAGGCGCTAGCGTGCACAGCACGCTGGGTGGCAAGGCACGCGTGAAAGGCGGTGCCCTAGACCTCAAGGACTAGGGCAATGAGCGAAGGCGCGCGGGCGGTGCGTGAGGCGGCCGAACGCATGAGAGAGCAAGAGAGAGAATTACTTGGAGTGCACACCTAGTGATTTAGTTTAAATCTAGCTTTATGATTTCTAGCTTAATTAGATTTCTAATATTTTATTGCTTTATTAGTTCCCTAGGTAAATTAGGACTAGACATATTTTGTGCCTATATAAAGGCCCTTTCCCTATGTTATTTTAATCATCGAATTTATCAATAAAAATCTGAACTTCTGTTCAAACACTTTGTCTTAGATTTCTTCTAGATTTCTATTGCAATTTTATTCGTTTAAATAGGCGCGTCTGTGGCTAGAGAAACACCTATCGGCGATTGAAGGCTGGGGTTCGTGGCTTATCGGCAATCGGAACACACGATCTTCATCATTGGTTCTTTCATTGAGAGGTGTTAGATCGTGTATTTTTCTTCTACCCCATTCCCTTTCTTTTTCTTTCTCTTTTTCATCCCTCCTATAAAAAAAAGAAAAACATATATATCATCATCACGAGTCCTCAAAGCAAAGAGCATAGGGAAGAGAAGAAAGCAATGACCAATAAAGAGATGAAGGACAAGATCGATAATCTTGATGTCCAGATGCGAAGCATGAGCGAAGTTTTGGAGGGAAGCCTTGGATGACTCGACGAAGGCCAAGGCAACACTAACGCCGCCGTGGCACGACTCGAGCAGCGCCTAGAAGAGGTACTGCGGGCGTTCCAGCAGCAACCACCATGGCAGCACAACGTTCCTCTGAGGCGCGAACACCACCGACACGCCGAGCACGACGAGCGCATGCCATCACCACGGCGAGAGGAGCTGCGCGCGCACGAGCAGCACGACTGGGAACGGCGAAATGGTGACTACGAGCACGGGGACGAGTTCGATCAGCGATCGCAGGCATCTAACTACCGAGATCGGCCGATGCCCGACAAGCCCTGATTTGTGATGTCAACATTCACGGGTAGTGACCCGGAGGCTTGGCTTAACCGTGTTGCGCAGTACTTCGAACTCAACGAAATCCAAGGCCATGACCGAGTAAGGTACGCAGAATTCTATCCTGATGGTGAGGCCAATGTATGGTGGCAATGGCTCACAAGGATCTACCGTAAGCGGCAGCAGGCCATCGCATGGACCGAATTTGAGAGGGAGTTTCTCACACGCTTTGGCACATCCGATTACCATAACTACAACGAGGCTCTCGCACGTATATGCCAGACGGGCAGCTTGCGCGAGTACATCAAGGAGTTTGATCGTTTAGCCTGCCGCGTGCGAGATTGGCACGAGGATGAACTAGTGAGAGAATTCATAGGTGGGCTAAAGTTCGATCTAGCCGCAGAAGTCTGACTGGAGCGGCCAGACATGATGCACACAGCCATGGAAGTGGCCCGACGCCACGAAGACCATCTAGTTGCAACCCGAAGGGGACGGGCGGACGGCCGATTCACCGATACCCGACGCACGGGCCCTATCCATGCGACCGCGGGCGCACGACCGGCCATCAGCGCTCGACCACCAGGGCCAGTCGTCTGGCGGCTATCTCCCAAGGAGGTCAAACGCCAGCGTGAGAAAGGCCACTATTTTAAATGCGAAGAAAAATTTACACCAGGCCATCAATGTAAGCAAGCTTTTGTTATCGAAGTCGCTAATTATGATGTGGAAGAATCTGAGGTCGAGGAAGAACCACATCAGGAGGATGAGGTTGAAGTGCCCGAAGAAGAAGCAAAAATTTCGATGCACGCAATGGCAGGGATTAAAGGGCCAAGGACAATGCAGTTGGTAGCTTGGGTCAAGGATCGTAGGGTGATTGTGCTTGTAGACAATGGGTCACCACATAACTTCATTAATGCTGACTTGTCCCAGAAGCTGAAGCTGTATAACATAATTGTTTACAAATCACTGAATGAGGCATTAACTTAATCTGAATAAATCTAGAATGGAATCTAGGGTTCTCAATCCTAGCCCCTTTCTAGAGTTCTGAAATCGTACTTGAATCCCCCTCACTGATGACTTTATTGAAACTGATCAATAAAGGACACAAATCTCTTGACGAGTCGCTAAACATGACTGGGGAATACTGACATAAAATTTCGAGTATACTGACTACTGGTCATGAACATGATTCGAGCATCTTAACTATGTCATAACTGAGGAATTTCTGAGCATAGACATAGTAAATCGTTTATAATTTAAAACTTAATCAGCACTTACCTGGTAGTCGGCGAGGCGTGAGCATGGTGTGGTCGGGTTTTCTGAAAATTTTCTGACTTGTTAAAGTATTCAGATACACAAAAACGTGCTCTGACCAGTAGTCAGCCAGGAGATGAAGATCAGTACGTTCCAGAATTATATTTATTCAGTGAACACTTTATTTCAGAAAAGTGTTTCATTCAGTCAATGTTAAATCATCAACTCACTTAATGGTGAATTGTTGATTTCTCAGTCAAGATCAAGTTTAATGTTCAGTATTCAATACTGAATTCTCAAGTCACGTCAGCAATAAGTATAAGCTTTATATTAAGCTTGTACATTTCAGTTTAGTATTTCCGAGGACGGAAATATTTTAAGGAGGGTGGATTGTAACACCCCGAATTTTATTAATAAAGGAAGTACTAGCTTTTAAATATTAAGCTAGCCTTTGTTAATAAATAATTATGTTCAATGTTCAAGTTCAAGCAAATCAGTTAATCAGATTTTAAGTTCGACTATTAGTCGATATGTTATTCGATCGATAATCGAATAAGTTTTCAGATTTTAATTCCGATTCATCTACTTATTTAATGAGTCTGGAATTAATAAGTCAAGTTGACGAATTATTCGAAATATTTATGTTCGGATTAATCATCTAAGTCAAGAATATTCGAATTAACTTTCGAATGTCAGGTTCATGTTCGGAAT